TTTTCTTTATCAGTTTTGATGCTTGATTGAAGTGATTTCAGCAAAATATGAAAGGTTACAGGTCTGTTCTGTCAACCAGATCACGCCTTTTTGAGTTTTTGTTTGGGAGCTGAGAAATTTTAAAAGATTAACAACAGGAAAATTTCTCATAGTGAAAGAAAGAATAACTTTTCTGTTTGGAAACTGAGAAGTGTTCAAAAGTTCAACAACAGGAATTATTTTTCTCTGCTTGGGGGCTGAGAAAGGTTCAAAAGATGAACAATAGGAAATTTTTGTCTAAGTGAAAGAAAGAACGGCATTTCTGTTTGGGGGCTGAGAAAAGTTTAAAAGATGAACAGGAAAGTTTTCTCTAAGTGAAAGAAAGAATAGCTTTTATGTTTGGGGGCTGAGAAAAAACTCAAAAGATTAACAACAGGAAAAAATTCTCACAGTGAAAGAAATAATAGCCTTCCTTCTGACATGCCAAACTGCAAAAAGGGAACCATAGAGATTTCTTTGGTATTACATAATTTCACCCATTGATGATCAAACAAGTGGGTTGATTTTTTTATTGATCCCCAAGGCAAGTGGGGGATAGAAAATTTGGAAAAGTTTCCAGCATTTTTGTCTTTTTTGTCTTGCATTTCTGCTTTTGCCCTTACTGTGAATTTTATACAATATTTTTGTTTCAAGTTTCACCTGTTTCTTCAGAAATCTTGTTGAAATGCTCTGCATATTCTTTGTAATAATAATAATGTCTTTCAAATTCACTGTGACATGTCATTTCCTGTTATAAAAGCTCAAGATTCTTAACTTTCTGAGTCAGGTCCTGTCCTATACTCAGTAAAACCATTCCTTTTGATTCTCATTTCTCATAAGAAACTGTTGAAAGCAGGTCCTGTCCTATTCTCAGTAAAACCATTCCTTTTGATTCTCATTTCTCATAAGAAACTGTTGAAAGTTTAGGGCTGTTTTGAAGCTGTTTTTTCAAAAAACAGCTTTATTTTTCTTCTTTTTTTAATCTACAGTTTCTTGGTGCACATGGTCATGGAATTGGATTTTAACTGATTTTTTTTTAGCAGTTTTGAGTTCAGAAACTGATTCTTTAAAAGGAAGAAGCAAAGTTTGGGATCAGTGGGGATTTTGAGAGAATTGGAATTGCAAACTAATGGGGCATTTCTCCACCATGTTCAATGGGCTGGCAAGGTCATTTTCCTTCAAGAAAGGTAGGAATTCCGGGAATCTAGGTGATGAAGGAGGAAGAGAAGCAGCGAAAGCCATGGCAAAGGATGCAAAAAAGAAAGACTTGATACTACGAACCTCCGGTGTTCTCAATGCAGAAGGTTCAGATAACTTTGCTTCGGTTTTCTCGAAAAAAGGTGAAAAAGGAGTAAACCAAGATTGCTGCATTGTATGGGAGGTAAGAGTCCCAATCAAATAAAGTGAAGTTTGTGAGGTTCTTTTGGGCTGCCTGTTAGCATATAAAAATTGCTTGGCTTTTGGCGTTTGTGTATAGGAATTTGGATGTCAAGAAGACATGATATTCTGTGGGATCTTCGATGGGCATGGACCGTGGGGTCATTTCGTCGCAAAGACGGTAAGAGAATCAATGGCGCCGTCGTTGTTGTGCCATTGGCAGCAGGGACTTGCTCAAGGTTTTCTCGACCCGGAATTGGATTCAGAAAAGAAGCACCAGCGATTTGATATATGGAAGAATTCGTATTTAAGAACTTGTGCTGCTATTGATCACGAACTCGAGCAGCACCGTAAAATTGATACGTTTTACAGCGGAACAACTGCCCTGTCCATTGTTAAACAGGTAAAATGGATTTTGCTTTTTTTTACTTGCTAAAGATAGATGCATTTTGGTTTTTTGTTTCTTCCAAGTAGAAAGCATCATAATCAATGGGTGAATTCTACCGACTCTGCATCGTGACGCTATCTGAATATGTAGCCCAAAGATCTAGAAGATGAATGTGTATACACTGGACTTGAATCTGTTAGAAAATTAGCTGGTTTATGTTTCACTTGGCAGAATTGAATGTTAATATTCAATTATTTCCTCAACTTCTTCCACACCTGCGTCAGAGATGTGTTTAACCATGGAATCGAATTCTAAAATCATGTTTTGACAAACTGGATTCATATACTTTTGGATGATCAAACAGTTCTTTGGATCTTCTTTGCAAATATGAATGTCGTTGTCTTATCATTCTGAGAACCAGCCTAACCATTGCTACTCATTTCCAGGGCGAACTAGTCGTTGTAGCCAATGTAGGTGACTCTCGAGCCGTTTTGGCTACTACATCAGATGATGGAAGGGTAGTTCCGGTTCAGCTCACTGTTGATTTCAAACCGAACCTACCTCGTAAGTCCCTCTCTTCTCTCCATCTGGAAAATGAATGAAGTTCATCCTTGTTTATGTATTGATCTTTAATTATCTCCAGAGGAGGCCGAGCGGATAATCCAGTGCAACGGGAGGGTGTTTTGTTTAAGTGACGAACCGGGAGTTCACCGGGTATGGCTTCCCGACGAGGAGTCACCCGGATTGGCAATGTCGAGAGCCTTTGGTGATTATTGTATAAAAGAATTTGGACTCATTTCTGTGCCAGAAGTGACACATAGAAACATAACCAGCAGAGACCAGTTCATTATACTGGCAACTGATGGGGTAAGTAAGAAGAACCTTTGCTTTGCAGCCAAATGACTTTCTAAATATGTCGCTACCCTGTTTTTCGTGTTTCAAAAAACATCGTCCCAAAAATGTCAAAAACACATATGGAGAATAGTACGATTGAAACAACTTCCTTTCTATTCCACCTGTTCTGTTAGGTATGGGATGTTGTCTCCAACCAAGAAGCTGTGGAGATTGTTTCGTCAGCACCGGAAAGAGCGAAATCAGCAAAACGACTGGTCGAGTGTGCGGTTCGGGCATGGAAACGGAAGAGACGGGGCATTGCAATGGATGACATATCAGCTATCTGCCTCTTCTTCCACTCCTCATCAGAGCAAGAAGATGGCCTTGTATCCACGCCATAGGAGAAGAGCAAATAAGCAAAAACAAATTACTTCTCATTCCAATTGTAATATCTTCAGTTTTAGCAGTTCAATAGAAAAAGGCCCAATTCTTCTTGATCTGTTTCTTTTTAGCATTTCAATTAGTTTCTTTGAAAGACTTGGGGGCATCTTTGGCAGTCAAAATAGATGAAAACTCTAATGCTACCTTCTAGTGTTTGGTTTGGCATGCCCAAAATGGTAAAATAAAACTTCGAATCCTACAAATAAAATTATCTATAAACAAACTTTATATCCAAAAATAAAAATATATTGTTATTATCGGACTAGGGGTATAAACGGGGCAGGTGGGATGAGGTTAGCGTAATAATGCACACACACGTCTTCATCGATGTTGTTTATTAATCGAAATATCGAGGACTAGAAATGGTTGATATAAGAAAGATTTACTTTTTTTGGAATGACTTGCTCCCCAACATAATAAGTATGATTTATGTATTCGTGTAGAATTTTGACACTCCATAGATGAATTTAATTATGAATTAAATTAAAGTAGTTTGCTTTTTTATATCGAGGGGAGAACTTAGATTGATAGATACTTAAAAAAAAGGAAAGAATAAAAGTTAAATTTGTATGGTAAAGAATGAGATGTTTTTAAGTATAAGATTCTTTGTGCACAACCAAATGACATAAGAATTAAGAATGTGAGGACAAAGGAATTATTTATAAAATGCAACTTGGAAGTGGATTTGCAAAAGTGGTGGCACACAATTTGGCCATTTTAAATAATTTTCAAGGTGACAAAGTTCTTCAAATTGGTCATCAAGTCATATTTAATTTTTCTTTCTTGATTTTTGGCTCTTTTTTTTTCTTTATTTCAAAGTTTCCTTTAAAATATCGTATGTCATGTCACGATGTCGAGGTGATAACTTCTATCAACCTTGACTCCATGATGGCGAAACCTACGCTTGTAACTTTTGGTTTGATATAAATGGGAGTGTGATTGATAGCCTGTTTTGAGATAACCTCGAATGTTACTAACTTGAAATCTACTCTGTAACTTTTGGTTTGATATAAATAGTAATGTATGATTGATAGTCCGTTTTGAGATAACCTCGAACGTTACTAACTTGAGTATCATACTATAGTTTTTTTCATTTTTCCCTTTTAAAGACTTTCAAGTTGTTTGATCAAAAAAATGACCAACACTGCAAACCTTGGCTCGGACTGAGAGTTGCTCGAAGGATGAGCTGGACGAGTGACTAGAAAAACAGAACACACTTCGATGCTAAAATTTGTAACCGGTCGAACTAAGCATTCATGTACTTGAAAATGGAGTGAATGAGGTTTATTTATAGGCGACTTCCCCGACAATATTCCCGATAGTGTCTCAACAACTCTTTAAGGTGGTCGTGAATCACGACATGTTGTCATGGTCTCTGACAGAGACTGGGGCTGAGTCGAGATTATGCTAATCAGAAACAACAAGGAGTGTATTTCCCTGAAATTAGATCGGCTCAGTTACACAAGACGTTGGTTCGGTCAAGGAATGTATGACCGAGATGATGAAACATGAAGTTTGTCAATGATTGCCACGTGTAACACTTTTCTTCCAATCAACATGTGTCAAACGTGTGAGGCTAAATTCACCTCCTTTATGATTTTTGTCCATATTAGTGCTTTGAGTACTTTTGAGTAGCGTAAAAATATTTAATTTATAACAAAAGGTTGTAATAAAAAAAAAACACAAACAAAAGGTTTGCAATACACAATTGTAGGTCAATTTTTTTTCTTATTATTTATTATTGTTTTTTGGGTGCCTACTCAATATATATTTAAATTGTTAATAAGTCTTTTACCTAAACGTACAGTACTATATTTCTCAAAATATTATGGGAAGTACCATATTTTTAAAGGTACATGTCTCTTTGTTTTTGTGTTATATTTATCTTTAACAAAAAAAAAAAAGTAACAATTTATTGACATTCTTTTGAATTATTAATAGCATTTGTAGCATCTGATAACTGTCTATCATTCCAGAAACAACCTTTTTTTTTAAGAAATGAAAAAAAGAACCGTAAAAGTATCATATTTTATGAAATATTATAGGAAGTATCATATTCTTAAAACTAGTATGTTTTAGCATATAAAACACATTATTATTCCCAATATCAATAGCTCAATTTTCCGCTCCTATAATAATTGAACTAAAAAAATTGTCTATTTATTTTTGAATTATCAATTATAATGGAAGAAACAAGCGCAGTTAAGAAAAAAGCGTGAGAATTGTGGGGAGACCACCTTATTGTTCAACCAAAAAATTATAAAAAATCTGATTCAAATTTACTAGTAAATCACATTTGATAGATAGGCTATTATTCAATGGTCCATTCAATATTTTTTTGAAAAAAAAAATCCCCAAAATGAAAAACAATACAAAAATAGAAATTTGAACATCAAATTGAAGATAATTGAAAGTAGCCAATGAGCCCACCAAAGATATTGTGATGATTTGGAGACTGTGTATAATTAAGCCATTCATAGGAATGTTTGTAGGAGATTGCTTCCATTTTTTTTTCTTTTTTTTTTTCTTGAAAGGGACATCTAAATATGCATTTATCATTTCCCTTGATGGATTTTTTAAGTCAATTTTTCATTAATCAAACCAAAATTTCCTACCTTTGATGTAACCATTTCAATCATAATAGGTTAAAACAAATCATAAATCAAAATTTTGTGTAAAATAATTCGGGTCAATTTTCTGTCTCCTTAAAAAGAGAAGTAGTATGATATCACAAACAACTTCTTCTTTTTCTTTTTTTTTTTAATTTTATTTTCGTTCGTAAAGTAGATTGGATTTTCAAACATGATATTATAGATAACTTTTTAAATTCACATGCCAACATGAGCTTACCTCAGTTGTAATTGGCACATGTCTTTAATCAATATATCATTAGTTTGAATCTTCCCACCCCATTTATTGTACTAAAAAAAAATCTAAACTCGCATATTTTGAAAATTTACCCATAATTTAAAAATTGTATTTGTGATATAAGCTGATAATTCAATTGCGCCTCACTGTACTTTTAAATTTTGAAAATAAAATTGATACAGAAAATTTGTTTGATGGGATAATTTTTAAAAACATAATAATTTTTAAAAACTATTTTATTGTTTTCATGTATTTTTTTCATGTTTGGTTAAATTTACCGATCATATCTATTCATTAATTAATTTTGAATTATAATTTAATTCAAACGTGTTGTATTTTAAAAATTAATATGAAGAGTAAATAAATAAATAATATAATTTTCAAACCTTTTTAGAAAAAAAAAAATAGGAAACGCTTTTAAAAAATTAATTCTGAAATAATTTTAGTAATGTAATCATGTATTGATTGAAACAATTACATAATCATTATTCATGAAAAGAATATTATTTCTTAATTGAGTATTGTATTATAGTGAATAAAATACCTATTAAAGAAAAAGATTTGAATTCACCCTAATTTGTTAAACTTATATAAGGAATAAGTGAGATGTTACGATCGTTAAGTTATGTTCATGTTGGCATACAAAAAATTCAATTAATCAAGACACTAAAATATTAGCAACATTTTTTTTAAGTCGTAGATTTGATTACCTGCTAAATTTAAATTGCATAACTAAAATTTTAAATTATCCTTATTAAATAAGATTCATGATTGATTAAATTTCAAGAAGGTGTTAAACTCCCATGAATTATTCAATATATATTGTGTTGTGTGTCATCATGATATATTACTTGCACCCAATTTCGTAAGTGCATGTGCAATTGCACACTCATTTTAATGGAAAAAAAAAGATGCTTAAAATGAAAAGAATCCCAAATTTAGACTTTGGCTAAAATGAAATTAATATCATAATGATCCCACTCACTTAGGAAAATATGCTTCCCAATAAAATTATTTCCTTAAGTTCACACATTTTAATAATGGTAATTTTTGCTATTTAGTCCCCCTTTTTTTCCATGTTCTCAAAGTGAGATAATGCAATGCCCACTCATTTTTGAAGAATATACCTTCAATGAATTTTACTATCTTTTCCTTGTTTAATCATTGCCATTTTTATCCTTTTTTCACATGGTTGATTCAACTATTTGTGGAATGATATTTTTTATAAATAGTATACCATTAATAGTTCTTGATCCTCCTGCTTATGAATTATATTACATTTTTTATTCCGTCAGTTACTTTTTTAAATTATAAAAGGTCTCTGACGTCGATCAAATGTAACAAAATATAACATAACAAATTATTTGTAAATGACATTCTAAATCACATAAATACAATAGATTTGGTTGATTACTTGTACTTCACGGTAAGGTTAACCTATGTCACAACTTATTTTTTAGTCAATATAATGCTTTAAAATTTGTCTTAAATTTATGTTTTTCAGCTAATATAACTTACACATCCTTCAAAACATAATATGAACAAAAAGATTTTTAAATTTTTTGAAGACCTAATAAGATTCTAAGACAAGAAAATAAATGATTAGCTCTCTTAAAACAATATGTTTCGGTCTCACTGAAGATATGTCTAAATTATTTTGGTTTTAGTACTTACGGCTTTGGTTAATTTTGGTCATGTACTTTCAAAACATATTGTTTGTTACCGGTAAAAAATGACTATTTTAGTCTATTTTTGTAGATTTTTAACGATCATACACAATAAAACCTTTAATACAAATTATGGCTACATTTTGAGAATTTTAGTGAGTGAGTGATAGGTTAAAATTTTGATTAAAAAATGAGATAAAGATAAAAATGAAGAGACTAAAATGGTCAATTTTTTAAAGGACGTGTAAGTGACCAAAACGAATGTTTTGAAATTATAGAGATTAAAATGAAAAAAAAAATAGAAGTTTAGAGATCGAGATAAAAAGGAGGATTAAAATGAACTAAAGTTGAAAATATATATATATATATTACCTTATATACTAACACATATTTATACTCTTTTTTTAATGAATATTTTTATTCAATTATTATTGTTAAAAAATAAAATAAAAAACTAATTTGGGAAATATTTTGACAACCAAGCCTTACTGATTTCGTTTGAAATCTAAAATATTTTAAGATGAAGATCGCATTACTAAAAATTATCACATAAATGCGAGACCATAAGT